TATTTATATAAATTATATTTTTTTATTTGTATGCGTTTTCATTTTCATATATGTTTTAGTGATTTTGTTATGTGCTTTTGTCATCTTTGTATATATTCATTTTTATTAAAATTTTTAGTAATTTTAGTTTTAGTAATTTTGATACTTCAGCTTCAAATGATTTATTTCAGGTAAGCTTTAAGTTTTAAGTTTTTCATCTAATATTAGGGTTTTTTTTATATAATGATATAAATTAGACTTTTAAAATGTTTTCATTTTAGTTTTAGTTTACATTTTAGTAATTTTGTTATGTATTTTATGTTTTTGTTTTTATTTATGTTATGTTTTTGTTATATTATGGGTTTTTGTGTTTATTTATTATATTTTTTTGTCATATTTCTATATATAAGTTTTTTTTATTTTGGTTTTAGTTTTAGTAATTGTGGTACTTCAAAACCCACTTATTTATTTTAGTTTTCCAAAGCAACATATCTTAGATTTTTTTAAGTTGAAGTTTTTCATTTAATATGTAGAATTTTTTATTTATAATTATATTTACATTCAATATATAAATTAGATTGTTATATATGTATAAGTTTTCATTTTAGGTTTGATTTACATTTTAGTATTTTTTGTTTGTTTGTTTGTTTTTGTCATCTTAGTTATTTTTTATTTCTAATAGAAATATTTATTTTGGTTTTAGTTTTAGTAATTTTGGTACTTCAACTTCAAATTATTTATTTTAGGTTAGTTTCCAAAGCAACTTGTCTTAAGTTTTTTTTTAAGTTTAAGTTTTTCATCAAGTTATTTTATTTTATTTTTCAAATACCGAAAACAATTTTTAATCGTTTTTTTTCGTTTTAATTTTCGTTTTAGTTTTCACTAAAACTAAATGTTTTTTCTTTCTACAAATTAATTTTAGTAGAATCATCTGACAATGTTCAAACTTGAATGGATAACTCAGGTTTACTGAGCTATGAAAGAGCAATATCTCATCTAGGGTCAGCTAAAATGTGCATAACACATTTAGACCTGCCAACAATTTAATTCAGAATTTCTTAACAGAATTTTTACTAGTCGACCTTCAGCCCGACTAATGGCACGTCTGGTCAGGAAAGTGTAACGCTGTGCTAAAATATCCTGTATTTGCATTCACTCACAGCATGCTGTTAGCTAAACAGCGATCTGTTATCTTCAGATGTTTTCCCCTGCACAGGAATCATGCTTTTAACTGGCACAGGCATTTGGCACTGAAAGTCAGACTTCATGAATAAAAACCGTAACCTAATTTGACGTTGGAACGGGATCCAAGGGGATCTATGGTGGTTCGGGTTTACAGACACATATGTGATGAGGTGTTGCATAATGCACAGACCTGAAGTGAGTGAGGAAACCAAACCAGAGCAGCAAATCTGTCACGTTTTTGTAGGCGGCATTGTGCAGAGGTGCTATTATTCGATTGCACAACTCAACACAGTTATTGCCGCCCAGCATCTACGCCCAACACTTCATGTTCCTCTGTTTGTTTAGGGTGCTGAGGGACATTTTTCCAGAAAGAAGAATGACAAACTATTTTCAAGCTTTGTTTCAAAACCTCAACCAAACCCAAAAGGCTGCAAAATCCTGGCAAAAACCATGAGTATAAACAAACACAGTGCAGCTCAACTTAATCTGTGGGAGGTATGGTGCGTTATTGCGTTAAGTACTGGCAAGGTTTTAGACACGCTGTACTATTTAAACCAGTAACCTTAAAAGTGAAGTGTGAAGTGTTTGTTTGAAAGGCCTGACTGGTTTAGCCATAACATCATTGGCTTAACCAGTGTTGTGGGACTATTTGTTTGTCCAAACTTGGTTGAAATCATTATTTTTGCAATTATGTTTAGTAGTTTAGTAGTGAAGCAGAAATTACATACCACAGGACTTTTAATGGCTAAATAGCTATATAAATAGCTAAATACTGTAGCTAATTTGGGTAGATAATATGTTCCCAACCCTTGTGGTGTCCACAGACAAGTTTAGAGAAAATTGTGTATTATTATTATTAATAATATCAATAATACATTCATTAAAGTTTAATTTAATGCCATTAAATTAAATTTATTTATTTGACAGATTTTGACAATTATTTTTGCATTCTGCTTTCTAAGGACTGTTTTTAGAGACAAGATTAGAGAGAAATTGTGTATAATA